TCCTTCCTTCCTTCCTTCCTTCCCTTCCCTTCCTTCCTTCCCTCTTTCCTTCATTCCCTCCTTCCTACCATTCATCCATCAATCCATCCATCCATCCACTCATCCATCCATCCTTCCATCCACCCACCCACCCATTCAACGATCCATCGGTCCGTCCGTCCGTCAATCCATCCATTCTTTTATCCATTCATTGGTTCATTTATTCATTTATTCGTTCATCTTTCCAGGCATTTATTCATCCCTTCAAATAATCGATCTTTCAATCCTTATATTGATTCATTCTTCCATCCTGCCATTCAGTTCATTCACTCATATATTTCTGTCATTTTTTTCCCAGCCATTGCTTCTCTCAAGAGTAATGGAGTAGAAATCAACAGAGACCAGTGGATACTAGATGCTGAGTTGTGTGAGAAAGCTAGTAGTGTACACACTTGTCAGGCTATAATGTGAGTATAAACTGGGTCACATGTCACATGTACCGTATAAACCATGCTTTAAACGTGTCTGCCCTAATCTCTGCGTAATAGAGACAGACATGACCACAAGCAATATACACATACTTAGTACAGCATTGATGTGTTAGGAGTGAGAAAAGACAAACACTGTTAATAAGAAGTATAAAGACAGGTCTGCGCACTAGAGACAGACATGACCACAAGCGATATACACAGACTTAGTACAGCATTGATGTGATAGGAGTGAGAAAGACAAACACTGTTAATAAGAAGTGTAAAGACAGGTCTGCGCACTAGAGACATACATGACCACAAGCAATATACACAGACTCAGTACAGTATTGATGTGATAGGAGTGAGAAAAGACAAACACTGTTAATAAGAAGTGTAAAGACAGGTCTGCGCACTAGAGACAAACATCTTATATAATAGCCGATCTAATGTTGTGTTGTGTTATATTACAGCCGTAGCGTCATTGGTGTCGGTGTTGAAGAAGAGGATCGCAAACACACGTGGATGGAAGATGCTGATAGCGTAAGTGTTGTTTTCTCCCTTGCTTCTCTCTAGGTTCTCTAGTTTTCCTCCTTCTATTAAGTTATTCCTTTCACTCCTAAAGCAGCCATGAAACGAGTACGCGCGGAATGTTATCATGACTTTCTGGGTGTGATTCCTAGGTGAGAAGCATTATGAATGCCCCTGGGTCGGTAGTTGCCTATTTAAGCGAGAAAATCCAAGGTTTCGACCTCATTTGCTTAGGTTCGCCTTACCAGTCAGTGCTAGACGGATTTTTGACCCCACCCACCTTCCCTTCGGCGACGTTTCTCCATTATAACAGTTCAGTCCGGAAGCTTAATCACAGCCTCGGCAAAACTCGTGTTCCCAAAACTTAACCACGTGTATGAGGTGAATGGCTGCTTTGGCGGTGAAAATGATATACTATTCAAATAATCGTTATATTGTAATAATAATAATAGTAATTGGAGGTTCTTATATAGCGCATTTGTACAACGTCTCGCTGCGCTTTACATTTATGACCAGTGGAGGACTTTACGGGCTGCATATTAAGGCGCTATTAGCAGCCGTGCAGCTTACAATCATGAGTGATTTATTAGTACATTAGTGCTATGCTTCCAGAAAGGGATAGCCTGTTGAACCGGGAGACAATCCCCTACTCTTACACGAATAATTTAACAGGTTCTTTTATGTCCCCCATTTACTGTAGGTTAGGAAGGGTTGGGAGACAGGGCCTACGGTTTTAAGTCCTTGTCCGAGAAGACTTGCAGGTCTAACCATTTGTAGATGTAATTACAAGGGCAGCAACTTCTCCTTAGTTATTTTAAGACCCTTAGTGAAAATTAAAATATTATGTCATTTTTATTTCATAAAAGGAATAAAAAAATGCTTGCTGTGATGTGTACAGTTATAAAGTTCTCATTATTCAAGAAAAAAGGTTTAAAACTATGATATACATTAACCGTGTTGCTTTGCTTACTCCACAGTGCGTTGCCCATAATGCATACGAGTGTGCGAGAGCAATCTACGCGCATGCGCTGACGGTCTTCCCAAGCAAGAAGAGCGTATGGCTGAGAGCAGCATACTTTGAAAAGAATTACGGCACAAGGTAATTAGAAGGAAAAGTGAAAGAAAGAAAAAATTTTAAACAACATGGCGGACATGTCTTTTGTCCTTGTGTATATGACGTCATAGCCGCCATGTTGGTTGACTTTGGGTCTTGGTTTCTTTTGTTATATCAACCAACATGGCGGCCATGTCTTTTGTTCTTGTGTATATGACGTCATAGCCGCCATGTTGGTTGACTTTGGGTCTTGGTTTCTTTTGTTATATCAACCAACGTGGCGTCCATGTCTTTTGTCCTTGTGTATATGACGTCATAGCCGCCATGTTGGTTGATTTTGGGTCTTGGTTTCTTTCGTTATATCAATCAACATGGCGGCCATGTGTTTTGTCCTTGTGTATATGACGACATAGCCGTCATGTTGGTTGACTTTGGGTCTTGGTTTCTTTCGTTATATCAACCAACATGGCGGCCATGTCTTTTGTCCTTATGTATGTGACGTCATAGCCGCC